AAAGAGAGAGAGAGAGATCTTTTGGAAAAGAAAGAAAGAAAACTGGAAATAATCCCACTGCACTTAATGAGGCCCCACTGGACTATCCCTGAGTCCAAATCAAAATCTCAAAGGCAGAGATACTGAAAGCTCACATTCCCAGAATATAGTCCATCCCAACGGGTCAGAGAACACTCGGCATTTACTTCCAATAAATCTCAACCATATCTCCAAGGGAAGGAAATCCCTTTGTTCAAAGAGAAAAGTGGAAACAGCTAGTTCAGCAACCCACTGGCTTGGTTAGCCAAATGATAGATAGCTAAGGCAGTTATAAGTGAGATAGCACTCTGGACTCTAGAGAAGTCAGGGAGAATATTTGCCACAAGAGGGAGCAGTAGAATATGGTCAGAGGGGAGACTATTGGTAGAGGTTATGATGATGAGGGGTGCACAAAGCAGAAGGACCTCTAACTATGAGGTATAGGAGGTTAGAGTGAGGGGTCTAACCATGAAGTATGGAGGATATTAGATGATGTTTTAGCAAGAGACATTTACCCTTGGAGGCCAAAAACAGGATGAAAGGACCAGAAAGAAGAGAGAAGTAACGGCACGTTGATTCCTAAATTCTTAGCTAATATAAAGTGACAATTCAATTTTTATTTGAAAGCAACATACACCCCTACTGAAAAAAAATAAAATAAAACATGTAGCATATGTGCTCTAAAATCCTTTTCCAACTATGTATTTCTTTTTCAGATTTAATTTCAATATCAGTTTGAATTTTGTTTATTTCCATGCTGACAGGGCAGCTGCTTCCTACCTATATACTATTCTCCCTCAGCCTAAGTCACCATGGAGAAAAGGCTTGTCTCACTGAATCACAACATGAAAATCAGATGTTAAAATGCGCTTACTTTGAGACAATCACATCCATGAGCTAAATGAATTCTTTGGCTTGTTTTTTAAAGATCCCTCTTTAACTAATGCAACTTCATTAGATCTGCAGAGCTTTTCTCATCATTTACTTTGTCAAAGAAATAGATTAAGTACTAAGAGGGAAGGAGCCATGCATTTACTTTGCAAGATAAATAAAAGTCTATTTTTGTCTGGTAAAAAACATGTTAAATATAGCTTGTTAACAAATGCTGAAGCTCTCTTGGAATATATTTTATTTTTTTCAAAACATAGTAAGCTTAAAAGAGCAATTAACATAATTCCTGCAAATAGTCCTGTAGGTGTTAATGACTATACCTCACCTTCCTTTTGTAATTTTATTTGGAGTTAGAGCACTGTTACTGATATGCTCTTTCCTCCCCTTCTTGGTCAGCAAAAGGGTTATCTACTTCTTAATCTTAATCCAAAATGATACAATGGAAACCATTAAATAGTAATAATAAAGTAAGTAGATAGGTAAGTAGGTAGGTAGATAGATAGCACAGCCTTCATGTTCTTCTAGTTCATTACTCTCCTCTTCCAGCCCTGATAAGCTTTCAAGACGGAGTAGATTAAGTCTGACTGTCATGGACACTGTTACATCCTTTGCAGCCCTGCTCAGCTCAACACTGAATAATGGTTTACCTCTGCCCAGTCCTTTTTTGTTGTTGTTTTTCTAGGAATTCATCATTCCATTTTTAATAAAAGACAACAGCCATTTTAGGGGGGGGAAAACAGGGCTCCTTTTATAGTAGGTGGGAGAAAGCTTAGCCAAAGAGCTCTGAGATCCAAATGGAATCTTTCAAGCAGGCAGCATTTGTAAGACGAAAACCATTTAAGAACACACATCTTGCCTCTTGATGAAATAAGTGGGTCCTCCCCCACCTTCACACTCACAAGGCCCCAAAGATGGAGCTAGCTCTCCCTTCCTTCCTCCTGCTTTCACACCCGCCTAACCTCCCAATTAAGCAAGTTTAGCAAACCCAGAGAGCTAAATCCAAGTAACACAGGATTTGAAAGAGGAACCTAAAACCAATCATCCCCCTTCCGGCTTTGTCTTCCTATCTGAAATGAATGAAACATCTAAATTCATTTTCCTCCTTCCTTTCCTGACTTGCTGCAGGAGTAGCTTTGAGAAAGAGAAACCATGTGTGTGTTGGGGGCGCATGAAGAGGGGGAGGTACACTTTCAGAATTCCTTCCTGGTTGCTCCTCCTTTCCCCTAGGAATTCTTCACACAAGTCCCTGATTGTGGATGTTCAACTGCTCCTATTTGGAGACACTCAAGCAATGCCTTTAACCAGATCTGATCAGAAATCTCCACCTACTCAGCTAGAGGCTCCTCCATGATCAGGATGCCTGTACTGTCTTCACCACATCTGTCATTTTTTAAAAAGCTTCTTCCACTACACCTCCCACTGATATCCTTTTTTCTCTTTTTAGTCTTTACACCTCCAGCAGGACAAAGTTTGTATTGTCATATTCACAACCACTAGTAGCTGACTAGCAGGAGAGGCAGAGAGCGCCTTCAAGGAGCCAGGCTACGGGGGTTAACAAGATACCTAGTGCAAAGCATGACTTTCTTCCCAGCGACTGCGGACGACATGCACATCGCCCTCTTCCAAAAATTCTTTGTTAAATTTGATCCCCTCTGCTCTCAACCCAAGCACTGTCACTTTGTCTGGAGAGGGAAATACGAATTGCCAGCCCAAGCCATTCATCAAATAGCAAGAGAATACATGGGGGAGGAGGATTTAAAGAATCAAGGATGCCACATACTGTCTTTTCAAAAGCGTCGCCTGGGGCGGATTTGGTTTCTTTAGCCAACTGTCCAGCTATCAGACCTCCTCCCTCTTCTTCATTTAGGAGGATCCAAAAAGGATATCTTCACATCTCAGAACACAGACCATTTCCCCAAGAGCCAGCAAAGCTCCAGAAGCAGATAATGCAGCTGCAAAGTTCCCTTCGAATCTCTCGGGGAAAGACGCCTGTGTGTGCAGAATCCCCAACGCACACCACGGCCCAGTGGTCGCAGAAGTGGACCCTACAGCCCGCGCCCCCCTACATTTCTTCCTTCTCTGTCCCCTCTGCCCCGACCACACCTCCCTCCTCACCGCAGTTGCTGCTGAACCAGCACCGGCGCCCGCCCGGAAAGAGGGGGCTCGCAAGTGTGGCCTTGGGGAAGACCCCAGGGATTACCGGGAGGAGGGATGACCGCGGAGAGGAGCCCAGTGGGTGGGGACGCCTGGATCCCCAGCAGCGCTGCATTCCGGGTGGACTTAGCTCTTCGCGCCCTGAAGCCTCAGAGCCCAGCGCGGCGCAGGGTGCAGCATCTCTCCTGGGCAGCCCTTTCTTCCCCCGGCAGCCCGCACTGGCAGGCGGGCACCCTCACGCCCAGACGCACCAGCCCGAGCAATTGCACTCCAGGAGAAGCGCGGACACCGAGAAAAATGTGCAGGCGCGCACTCACCACACAAACACACACACACAATTGAGACCGGTCGTTTGCCAAAGCGGAGGGAAGTGCAGCCTCAGGAGCAGCAAACGGAAAATAGTTCGCGGTATCTGACCAAATCCCTTCAGCTTGCCCATCCCGAGGTCCTACCTGGCTTGGGGAGTGTGGATGGGTTCTTCCCCCGTTCCTCCACGCTAGCAGCAAATACACTGCGCTCCCTCCTTTTAAAGAGCTGCGGATCAGGAAGAGGTCGCTCCCATCTTCTGGGGGAAGCACAAAGCAGGCGGCGGCGGCGGGCGGACTCCCGTGCAGCGCCGGCGCGAGCGGGAGCGGCGGCGGCGGCGGCGGGCAGCGGTGCGCGCGGGCGGGAGGCAGGCGCGGAGGCCGCGAGGCTGGGAGGGCCGGGGCCCGGGCGGCGCGCGCTCCCCCTCCCTCCCCCCCTCCCTCCCGTGCACACCCGCCGCCAGCCGCCCGCCGCCCGCGTCCGCAGCCTTGCACTCGCTCACACGCGCGCTCGGCCCCCTGCGCGCCCCCCGGGCTCCCTCGGCGATCGCGCGGGGGTACGGCCGGCGCCTTTCGGGAGCTCCGAGCGGGTGAGGAGCCCTCCCAGCCTCCCGGCCTCCGCGGCTGAGAATCGTTCCCGATTTCCTCCTGGCTGTCGGCCCCGCAGTGCGTTCCGGCCGCGCGCTAGCGCTCTCTCCCGCACCCAGCCCATCGGGGACACGCGCGGGCGGGCGCTGCAACTTTTCTGGTCAACCCTCCTCGCCTCATCCACTGGCAGGACCCTGACCCCAACTCGCCTCCCGGTTTCTCACCTCTGACTTTGTTAATCTAGCCATCGTTCTTCCTCCACTGTCCACCCTTTTGCCAAAGGAAGCTATCTGTTAGCAAAGGGATCTAGGGATACAGCAATGATTTCTTTTTCTTTTTCAAATCCTTACTCCGTGGTTTTCCTACATACCAGCTATGCACGACTATACGCTCGCTACTAGATGCTGACACAAGTAAATAAGGATTTGGGGCGGGGGGAGGGCGCGTAATTTCCCAGCCAAGAACTCTGAAACATACTCCGCGTTGGTATTTCCCTCAAAGATTGCGGGTCGCCTGGGAATAAAGACCAAGGGGCTGTTTAGTGGGAAAGCCTTGCTGCTTTTAAACTACAGAGAGGAGTAAAATCTGAGCATTAAGATTGAGTTGGGAAAGACCTAATGCAGCAATCGACGAACCATTCATTGCCCTTTCCAAGAGAAGCATTATCATTGCCAATACATCACTTCCCCATAATTAATAAGGGAGCACTGCACCAGGCCCTTGCTCTCTTGACAGTTCATTCATTCTTACAAATCCTTAATGACTTGGCATGATGAAAGGCTAGACCTCCTGTGAAGTTCGCTGGCTCCCAACCCCGGCTGCACATCAGACACACCTGGGAATGCAGGCTCTGATGTCTGTCATAGGTCTCAGAAGGGGCTCCACATTCGTATTTTGAAAGCACCAGTTGCTATTGGCCACTGGTATGATTTGCTCAGGTGTAGGGATCAGGAACAGCTATACTGGGAGGCGAGGGAACGAGGGAGTTGTAGAGCACTAGGTACAAAGTTTAGTTCTTCCGTGGAGTCCTACACCAGTACTTACAGTGCAGCTCTGGGGCAGTCAGGCCTTAGGAAAAGAGAGATTCTGACTCCAGGAACCCGGCTGTCTGAGTCTGCAACAAAAAGAGAGGAATGGGAGAAGTTGCCCTCTTCTGCCTCTATGCCACTGGTTCTCAATCCTGACTGTACCCCAGAGTCTCCTGGGCAGCGTTTAAAAATCCCAGTGCTTAGGCCACACCCCAAACTGATTAACTTGGACTCTCTGGGGGTGGGACCCAGGCATCAGTAATTTGTTTTTACATTGCTCAATTGATTCCTGTGGCCCACAAAGGTTGAGAACCTCTGCTCTAGGCCAATAATCCTCAAACATGAATGTGGGTATTAAGCACCTGGGGGTTGCAGTTTCTTACTCAATAAGACCTGGCGAGGGCCTGGGTCTGCGTCTCTAGCAAATGTTCAAGTGACCTTGATGCTTTCTGAACGAAGACTGCATTCTAATTAGCAAGGGTATGTCGCATTCATCTAGTGGTCACGGACACTCACTTCTTGTCTTATAAATCTGCAGGAATCATTCCTTCCTAAGAACACTTTCCTTTCCTTGCTATAAGAGAAATTTTCTTGGAAGTCATGCTCTGCACAAACTTTTTGTTAGATTGTACTGACTAGTGGGCGTGAACAGAATGACACGTGGGGAGACACAGAAGGTCACCATCTCTCTGTTAGAATATGTCCTCTGCCAAAAAAATACTTAGAGTCCTGACTTTAAGGGAGTGTGAGAGGCAGATATCTGGCTCACAGTCAGTGAAAGGGGCTTGGAGAGAAGTGGCTGCCTTCTAAATGACACTTAGAAAAGAACATAATGAAGACTCTGCTTTTAGGAAATAAGACACAGCCAAATGAAGGGACCGAATGAAAGAGCTAAATGAAAATGTGAGTGGACTACTATCTCATTGGAATAGATTCCATGGAAAGAGTATGGCCTATTATTGCTATTATGGGCCACTGACTGAGAGCTCAGATTTTCTTGAAAGTATAAGCATGTTTGTGACACAGAGTAACAAGAGCCCTGTTCTTTAAATGTCTCTACGCCTGTGATACCCAAAGTCTATGTTGTCAGCAGCTAAGTAGATATGGCTACTTCTTAGTCCTCTTTATTCCTCTTCTTTTCCTATCTAGATTGATATTTAGGTTAATTTAGATTCTTGGGGGAAAAAAAAACTGATGTTAGACTTCTCTTTATGTAGAACCATTAAGTGGCAACCTAGTGCCCAGAGATTGGGCACCCTTTTTGATTTGGCTCAATTTCTGAGCCCCTAATTCTTTGACTTTCATTTCTCATTAAAGGCATTTTTATAATGGTTCCAGGGCCCTAGGGCAAATAAAACCTTTTTCTCCCTTCTTAATGTCATACATGACTGGATTTTTATTGCAAGAATTATCAAAGTCTACATCACCAGCACAAGGCCATGGGAGACTATGGCTCTAGGTAAGGAATAAGTGAGGCTGCTGCAGTAGACTGTAGCTTTGGAAAGAAGAAATATTGTATGGAGGAAAGTGGTGGTTTATATCCCAGTAACAATACACTATTTCCTAATTGTAGTCTCCTATATTAATTGCTATTTTTTCCTCTGGGCTAGGGATTCAGAATCCCAAGCCTCCACTTTTATCTAACCAAAGCAATATGGCACAGTCAGTTAGGAGACTCCACAGGAATATCACTACGATTTGGCATATTCTAGAGATGTTCAGTTTTTCATGAATTATTTCCCAAAAAAACCTTCAGAGGGATCTCTTAGCAAACTCATTTTCAGACAAATTGTAAATGTGAATTAGGTCTGGTCTTCAAAAAAATTAGACATGATCATGAGTACCAACAATTTTTTTAAATATTTGATACTTTACTGAAACACCCAATAATTTTTATCCCAGGAAAAAGTAACACAATATTTTGTTGTAAGTCCTCTCATTTTACTTTGAATTGCATAGGTCAGAAGTACTACTATTATTTTTTTCATTGCTTGGAGCTTCTTAAGTGTGTTAATATCCTCTTAGTCATCTCCCATCTCATTTCCTGCTTTGCCAGCCTTTACCACTCACCTACCTGCTCATCTATAAGTCAGTCTCATATTGATTTATACCTAAGAAAAAGGTGTCATGGTACCCCCAGCCTGGCCAGCGAGTAGAGAGCTTAGCATTAGTAAAAATAAGAATTTTTCCATACCTAAGAACCTCAGGCAGACCGCTGGGTCCCAGTTTTGTCCTTTAATTTTCTTTGCTCCTGATTGGATCTGGGGTTCTTTGCTTTAGAAGTGACTATGAGGATTCTTTGTTGACTTCTAAGTGCTAGTCTTTCTCCTCCCCAAGGTATTGTTCCTGCAGTTCAACTTTTACTTCTCAGTTTTGTTTTGACCACTCCTGTACCTCATCCAGCAATGGGCCCTGCCACTGTACAACAATCCACAAAGTGGGAACAGCCTTTCCGGTAGACTCACTGTCCAACCCTCCTCCCCTGGCTCCATTACTTTGGGGTCAGCCACTTCCTCTGAATTTATCACAGTCTTTGGATATGAGAAGCCTGCAATTCTACATTTGAGCAACTTATATTAAAGGATTGGGTTTGTACAAAATCCTGACACTCTCATTTTCCATTGCCCCTTATTGCCATAAGGAAATATCTAGTCTATACCCCACAACTCTACCCACATTTACTCAATGGCAAAATCATTATCTAGAACAATTAATGGGTTAGAAAAGAATAGCTCACTGGTTAAGAACTATGGCATCAGAGTTATAATGTCTGGGTAGTAATCTCAGCTCTAGTTGTGTGAACTTGGGGAAGTCTCTTAACCTCTTGAATCTTAGTATCTTTGTCTGGAAAACATGAATCATAAAATCTCTTGCAAGAAGCTGTGGGAAGGATAAAATGTATATAAGGTGCTTAGCATAGTTGTTCATCATAGTAATTACTCAATAACTGATACTGTTGTTATTATATTGGTAAAGTTCCATAAAATGATATCCATATAAATTTTATAAATCTATATAATCGAGTTACCTCATTATTTATAATGACTATGCTATCATTTTTGTTATGCAGAATTCTATACAAGGAATAATCCAAGAAAACATACATTCCTGCATTAAAAGAGTACTTTTCCTCTCTGTAATGAAAGAAGCTGTTTGTGCTCTTTCTGATTTTGTAAGTACAGAGTGTGGTTAATGACCGCTGGAGTGGACACCACATTCTTGGCTCCTTCACAATATTTATTTCCCTTTATGTCTGAGTATCATCTTGATCTTACCTTTACTACAAGCCGAGGGTGGAATTTCAAAGGCAGCCATTTTTAAACAAATCCCACTACAACTAAAATGTTGATTGTCACATTAATTTTACCAATAGGGGACTTTATCTATAGGGCATAAACTTTTTCACTAAGTTTCCACAAACTTTCCCCAGCATTAATTCAAGGACTCTCCATCAATAGAGACTCAAGATGAACCCCTGGGGTGCTCTGTACCAGGCAGCTGTTCCTCACAATCCAGTTTTGAAGCAATGTCCCTGAGAGATTGCACTTCAGCTTTTTCAATAAATCTCCTTTCTAAGGCATTGCCTGTGATATATAACTCCTTCACTGAGTCTTCAAATGCTGGTCACTGATTAGACTGTTCTGAGAACTGCTGATGTTTTAGTGGTTACTGCAATGCCCAGACAGTAGCCCTTGCAAATGGTCATAACAAAGATCCCTAAGGAGAAATAGACTGAAATTATGGGTGTCTTAATCCATGATTTTAATGATGTTGATTCTGCTGCCACTGAAAGTGTCTGGAAATAAAGAAACTATATGCTCTCATCTTTTTAAAAATTCAGACTCATCCATTGTGACCTAAAGCATGCTGAGTAATCATGAGCAAATAATGTTCAGAAACTACACCCTATTTTCCCTTTCCTTTGAAATATTATCCCATCACACACAAAGCTTAGCCATCTTTGGATTTGCTTTAGCATTTCTAAGTGTGTGTATCAAAATAAATGGTACATTATTTGTGTATACTTTAAAATTATCTTCTATCTATACTTTAGGGTTTTTTTTTACCTTATGTCTATAGAACTTTTATTTTTTATTTTCTTTATTTTTTATTTCAGAGTAATATTGGGGTACAAATGTTTTTCATTACTAACATCGCTTTTGTAATGCTCTAGTAAGGGTTAAAAGTGTGCCTGTCACCCAGGCAGTGTTTATTGTACCCGTTAGGGAGCCTTTTGCCCATCTCTTCCATCCCCTGCTCCTGCTTGATTTCCTTATGATCTAGTTGGAAGAGCTATGATTAATCTTGCTTCACAAACTAAGAAAGAAAGTAAAAAGGGATTTGCCCAATCCTAGGTGCACATATGTATCAGCTGGGTTGTTTTAAAAAATACTGAAGCCTGCACCCCACCCTTAGAGCTTCTGTTCCTATTGGTCACAAGCTGGATCTGGGCCCTCTTTCGTTTAGTTTTGTTTCTAAGTTTTCTAGGTGGTTCTAAGGTTCAGCCAGAGCTAAAAACCACTGGCCTAAGATCAACTATTTAATAAGTGGCAAAGACAAATGAAAAAGCTCTTTACATCTGGCACAATGCAGTTTCTATATTGGTGCTATTGATATTTAACAGAATGTAAAAATGGGTTCTTTTCCTAGAAATTTAAAAGAACTTACAAATGTTTTAGGGCCTTTTGAGTCTTTTAAGAAGCAGAAGTGTATATTATAATTCACCTGGCAAGGATACATAAGAAAATTATAAAATATGATCTAGAAAGTCCAGTCTATTACGATAGAGCCTCTGTCTATCTTGTTGAACATTCAGTCCTCAGCATCTAGAGTAGGTTATGGTGCATGGTGGATGAATTAATCAACACCTATTGTCCCCTGTAAGGGATCTGGCATATGTGAAAAGAAGATGGATTTTGGTTATAAGGTAAAGTAAACTCTTTGGCCCCTGTCCAGTGAGAATTGTAACTTAATAGTGATCACCTCCTTGTAGCTGCAGTGCAGGCCCTGGTTAGCAACTGACATAGTCACCATATCCACACCCACAGTCCTGCCTGGCCACCTGCTCTGCGATGACAGACGGATTGTCTGTGACATTGCAAGAGGAGGAACCACACAGAGACAGCAATCTGACCAAGCCTCCGGCTTGAGTTTGTAAACCGACCCTTTGTCAGTATTTCAGGAATTACTTATAAGCCATCATCCGGCCCAATTTGCAAACAAGTTAGAGAATCTCCTATTTCCTGTTAACAAAAGTTCATTAAGCATGTATTTTATGGGTATTATTCTCGTGTTTTTATTTATTATTTTTCAAGAATAAAGGAACCAGTGAGTTTCCTGATTATGTTCAAAGTTGGTCATCAAGCAATTCTTAGTAAAGGCAAAAAGCTGGGCAGTGTAGAGAAAAAGACAAAACACAGCTGAGAGTAGTCATTAATTCATTTTTTCATTCATTCCTTCATGTATTCATTTAACAAATATTTATGAAGATCTACTCAGACACTGTCCCCGACACTGGAGAGAAAGCAAAAACATTAGTAGAAGTTCCTACTCTCCTAGGATGTACATTCCAGTGGAAAAACAACAGGCAACAAGCAAAATAAGCAAATTAACAACTTGTAGGATGTCACGTGGAGAGATAATGCTATGAAAACAGTAAAGCAGGGAAAATGGAATAGGGACTTGTGGAAACAAGTACTAATTTAGGTGGTCAGTTTTGCACAGACTTGAATGAAGTTAAGATTTCCTGTAGACAATGCCATCCCTTCTCTGAGAGTCCCAAACAGATTATATGGATTATAGCTATATTACAGAAGAAACAAATTTTCAAACAAATAAATATATATATATTACAGTACTTTGTTTGTTTGAAAATTTGTTTCCTCCCTGCATTGAGATTCTTTTAGGAATTCTCACCTCAAAGCTGTCAGACTTCATCAGGGTTAGCAGCAGAGGCATGACCACATGACTTGTACCTCTGCATGCAGGAGCATATTCATGTTACATAAATCCAAGAGTTCCAAAAAGACAGACCGCCCCCAGGGGTTGCACATAAAATGACTGTGTTCTTCTAAGGCAGAGTTGCTATAAGACTTTTGAGTGCCCTTTTGATTTTATTTAAATTATAGCATCTTATTAATGCACTTCGATGGCAAACTTACATAAGTGAGCTCTGACGGGTGAACCTCTTGCCACAAAGTCAACAACACTGGTGAGGAGGGAGGGAGATCACGCACGTGTAACTTGATGGTTCCCGTGTTTCTTTCTATGAGACGGTCACACTTCTTTTTTCTTTTTCCTGCATTCTTACCTGAAATTATACAATATACAATATGCATGCCACACTGATAACACCACACACACTCCTACACACACATTTGCACAGACTCACACACTCATTCACATACATGATTCTTAACTGTGGCCAAATATTTAATTATTGAAAAATTACCAATTGCAAATTTGCAAATACACATGGAAGTAATAACTCACCTCTTGTTTTGTTTAAATATTATTCAATCTTGATGGTTTTTTATTTGCATATACTCTCATATACTTAGACTCATAGACTAAAGCAGATTATGACCCATGCATTGTGCTTTTTTGGAAATGAATAATATTAGATTTGAAGCCTAAAAAGATACATGAATTATAGATCTTAAGAGAGATTTAAAATTTTTTTCTTCCTGTTTCTTTTGTTAAAAAAAGAAAACCTCAATGTAGAAATTGCTCAGGAAAAGTAGAGCTTGGATGGAAAAGTATTCAGCACAGCAAAAGGGCCTACCTAACTCATAATAGATGATCAATAAACATATGTTGAATAAATGATGGAAATTAATGGAACATGATTTTTTAAAGGGCAATCATTTTGCAGTCGATTTATTGGCTGAATTTTTAAATCATTCAGGCAGCAAATAGTGAGTGGCTACTCCAATCAGAGCCACGAACTAAGTTCTGTGGTGATTAAAAAAATGAATCAGACACCGTCTATGACCTTTAGAAACTTAGTCTCAGAGGTAGAATTAGACTGTAAAGATTTTTGAAGAAGTGAGTGCTATAGAAGATTTTATGAAGCTTTATGAAGATAAATCTTGACAGCGTGTCTGAGATGTGTTAAAGTGGGCATGACCAGGGATAAAGAAATTGGTGAGGAGATGATTAAAATCAAAGTAGGCCCAAGGAACAAGACTGTAAACAACAACTGGGAAAGGAAAGGAAGAATATAGCTACTTTTCCTCTTTGGCTCAGTTCTTGGCAGAATCCCATTACATCTCTGCCCAATGGTTTTAAAAAATACTGAGTTTTAATTCTGAGGGCAATCATTCTGGATGGTTTCAACTGTGACATATAATTTCTATAAAGCTGTTACTATTCTAGGAAAAACAATCCGTTTAAGACTGGCATATGAAGTTGGGGATAGGGGGTGGTAGTCTGCTCTAGCAGCCAGAGAGAGTATTTCATCACTGACATGATGAATGGTGATAATAAAAAGCAGACAGACCCTCATTTGGTTTTATTATTGTGTCTAAATTCTCCCCTGACAATGCACCCCCTTATTCTTTGCACTGCAGATTTACTGCTCCCACTGCCTATCTCCCTTGATGTGCTGCTGTCTTTTAAACAGATTATGGTAATATGACACTATCTGGTCTCCTTTCTGTGACATAAACCTGACTTACAACTAGGGAGCAGGTGAAAAGATCTCCACCCCAACCCATGTACCCACCAGACATTTAAATCTACTTTGTAGGAAAGCCAAACAGAGCCAAGTTCGATGAAGTATGGACTTTACATAGAGCCCCTCAATTCCCCTAACTGCATGTGACTTTACTATTATTATTTTTTTTAACTATACAAAATCAGTGAAAGAAATTTGAACATACTTGGAACATTTAATCAAATCTCTTCATTAATCATATATGTTAAGGAGAATATTTTTTCATTAAATGCAGTCTTATATGTTGGATAACAGGTCCAAAGATACAAAAAATTGTTTTGATTTTTCATGTGCATTTTTGACAACTCTTTTGACACATCCTTCATCTGACACAAACTAAATCCTATATATTCACCATTATGAAAAATCTAGTGTTCACACTACTTGAAATTATTAGTATATTTTTAAATGGAAAGAATATGCTAGATTTTTAGATCTTTATTCTCTTGTTTTAAGGTAAAATGTTATTTTTTCTTTAAATTAATTTAATACATTTAATTATTAATCAATTAAAATTAAATAAGTTTAAGTAAACTTATTTAAATTTTTTATTTTATTTATATATCAATCCTAATGTTAGAAAAACACCTAATAAATTTCCTGACAAGTTCAGAACATTTTTTCCTGTGAGAGGCAGTGTTTCATGTTAGAAAAGATCAGAGCAGAGATGAGCCTGAATTTTGTGGGAATGGACACGTGCTAGCTATATAAACACAGATAAAACATTCATTCACTCACTTGCTGAGCAAGCATTTTTTCAGTGACCATTAGGCAAGGCGCTGTGTCAGACATAAGAGAATCATCAGTGAACAAATGGGTCTTTCATTTGGGAAAGGAAACAGAAATTAACCAACTTACACAATTCACTATTTTATTAATATTGTGGTAAGGAACAACAAGGAGACACAGAGTTGGCTTTGACATTTTGTAACAGAGGGAGCTGACTTTTTAAGAAGATAACTAGGAACTGGCTAGGGGAAGAGGGGAATGAGCTCAGTATAGTCCTGGACAGAAGAAGCTTCAGATGTAAAGGCCGGGAGGTGAGAAGGCACAGCTGAGGAACTGGAAGATCAGAGGGTATACAGCATAGCAAGTGGGGGAGAGAGAGTTGTGAGCCAGGGCTATAAGGTACGCAAAGACCATGTAGAGCCTGCAGAGCTTGCTTTTTTGATTTTTTTCTCAAGATCATGATGTGCTTAATTCTAAGGACTTGTCTTAGTTTCATGACAGAATAATTGGTCTCACAGTAACTAAACTCTTCTGCCCTTTCTGCACTTCCCTGGCTAACACATGATTGAGCAGAATTTCTTCTAAGTTTAGTATTAAGGGGAGATTTGACAACTGGAAAATTAGAAATAAATTAAGTCTTATTTTCTAGACATGATTTTACTTTCACTGCTGTGCTTTGTCAGGGGTCTCCTATGTGATCATCAATAATTAATAATCACCATAACGACCAAAATTTTCCACTAGATTGCTTTTCAGATTATTTGGTGGAGTCTTGTTCTTTTGACACCATATCCCCTCCTAACATGCTCTTCTAGATTATTCTCTTAGACTTACAAATAAGGGAGGGTCATTAAGAAAAAATATTGATAGCCAGTGTGAACTAAAACAGCACTGGCTTGATCCTGGAATGGGGACAACTCATTTCATAACTTTAAAAGATTCCTACATTTCCACCTGTTTATTGGAAGTTAAGATTCTGCATGGTGACATATAAACAAAACAGTGATTAGACCCAGGCTACCCACTCTATTAGGAGCTGTGGAGGAGAAGACCCACTGGTTCCTCCTCTTTGAGGTAAAGAGAGGCGGCTCCAAAAGAATTGCTTTAAAGATAATAAGAAGAAATTGACATTGGATTTCACCGTTTTAGCTTCCAGCTTACTTCTGCATCATATACCACTGCACTTGGTGAAATACCACTGGGGCGTAATGGGGTGGGGTGAAGCTTGTTATTGGAGAGGTGTTTAAATTGGCCTGAGAAGTGGAGTTGTAGGGGGGAGATGAGATTGGAACTGCAGACCTGCCAAGGACTCCACCATAGGACAGGAGATGAATGTTGTGTGAGGCCACCAGTTGGGAGGGGCTCAATGTATAAGGATAGTCCAGTCACGTAAAGCTCTCCCAATGCCTGGAGGAAATGCTAAGAAAAGAGTCCCACCCAGTGGGGACAGTTGAGTGCTTTATCCAACCACACTGAGCATATAATAAACGAGATCCATCAGCAGCAGGAACCAACCTGAAGGAGCTGCAATCTTGTCACAAGAGGTGTTCTCACCCCCTCTCTGCCAGAACACTATAGGAATGTAGAGGGAAAAGGTGGGTGAGAAGGTAGACAACATCCCTTCTTCTCTGAGTCTCTACAGCAAAGGTTCTCACCTGGGGTGGTATCATCCCTAGGAGTCAACTTCAAAATTCATGGGGTGTTTTGTAGTTGTCACAACAATATGGAAGTTGCTATGGGCATTTATTGGGCTACAGCCAAGGATGCAACATATCTTGCACTGTGGAACAATCTCGTATGACAAATAATTCCTCTTCATTCCATATTATTTTAAAATGTTCTACAGGGCATTCATGTAGGTGAAAAACCTATTACTTGAGCCTATAGCCTTACTTTGGTTTTTATATAAAAACCAAGTATTTTTGCATGTTTTCATTTATACTGATTTTCCCAGGAGTATAATTACTATGCATATTGAAGAAAAATTATACTTTGTTTCATTTGGAATTTAACAAGAGTTGTTTACCATTTTGGAAAATCACTTTACTGATGGCAATATTGCCTGTTAGCATTTATAACCATTACCCTTGGGGTAGTTCTACATAATGAGCAAGTATCTGACCACTACATCTTCTAGTGTCATAAGAGCTGAATGTTTATACATTGCACAACACGTTAATGGATTATAAAATATTCCCATTTTTCCTTTTTTATATTACAGTGAGAGCATTACATAGGACTTTAGATATATACATTAATATATATTCATGGACTAGGTTATATTATTAATTTTATTTCATAGTAGTGTGCTATATAAATATATATAGCACATACATATAAAAGGGATGCTTTAGTCTGAATATGTCCCCTAAAATTCATGCGTTGGAAATTTAAACTCCAATGCAACAGTGTTGGGAGGTGGGGCTGAATGGGAGGTATTTAGGTCATGAGAACTCCATCCTCATGAATGGATTAGTGTTGCTATAAAAAGGGCTTATGAGAGGGGGTTCACTCTCTTTTGTCTTTCTGCCATGTGAGGACACAGCATTTGTCTTCTCTTGCCATTCCACGTTCCACTATGCAAGGCCGCAGCAAGAAGGCCCTCATTAGACGCTAGCACCTTGATCGCAGAGTTCCCAGCCTCTAGAACTGTGAGAAAACAAATGTCTGTTGTTTGCAAATTAGCCAGTGTTGAGTATTATGCTATAGCAGCATTAAATGGGCTAAGAAAAAGGGGAAACTGAGTCTGAAGGAATTGATAACCTCTTCAAGTTTTTAACTCTCCAAGTGTTATAGTCTATAAAGGGAGAGGTTGGGAGAGAAATTTAAATCAATTATGAAATTGATATTTAATAATAAATACG